GAATCAAACAGTTAACATATTAAACAACAAAGTTCTGTGCGAAAATTGTACCTACTAAAAATAATAACATATCTATTTAAAATATCTTATTTGAGAGTGGTCCGTTGCTGTTCAAATAGGCGATAATGTTTTAAAAATAAGATTCAAATATTATTTGGCTCTACATCACATTTAGAATTATAAAAATGCCCATATTACGAAAATTTAATTGAAATTTTAATATATAGTTTAATCCGAATTTTCCAAGTTCCAACTACATAATTTCCATTTATTCTTTAAGTAAATATCAACGCATCAAATTGCAGATAATTAGTAATGTACATGAATATAAACTGGTAACCGGTTGTTCATCGATCATGGTAATACATTTGAAACACAGTAAGCGAGTATTGTTCACATATTTCTAATCACTCTCGAGTCAGTGACCGTATAGCTATGAATGTTTAGAATACTTATAATTTCGTTACGCTTTCTGAATATAGTCCCTTTACACTGCTGTGAGTTGACCTACAGTATAATGAAGTATATTTATTATAAGACGAAATCCATCTACCATCCAAGACTTAAAAATTATACAACTCTTCAAGCAGTTTTTAATGCTACTCACTACTTTTAAATGGTTTTATCGCATGTGTTTTTGAGAAATTATTTTGTTTGAAACTAGTTTTATTTAATAAACGATACGCGGGAAAAATTCAATAAGTTTTTGAATAAACCAGCGAAATATAAAAATAATAAAGATCTGGGAAAAATACAAAATTACACCATGTTCATATTACGCACAAATTAACTTCACTTAAGAATTTAATAAGGAATTTTATTTTACAAAGTAGTACCTTAGTAAATAGGGTAAAAATAATTGCTGTCAAAACAACAAAATTTTAAAAGCAATCATAAGTATCGACCTTTGGTCATTACTATTTCAAACAAATAATTTGTTTCACAATTAATATTTTCGTTGCTATACGAGTCTAATTACACTCTGAGCTTAACATGAACAGGTTTTTTCGTTTATTTTATGTAAGTATTCATTCGATTACATAAAATGTACACGTGCAAATACAAAAATACTTTTCCTTGATACGTCATCTGTAAAGTACACCATGGAAATGTTTAAAAGGATATTAATATATTTCAAAACAACATCAAATGTGTTTATATTAATTGTTATTTATTTCTATATTGATTCAATATATCATCCGTAAATTTTTAACTGGTTTTATATTTAATCTTTTCTTCAATAAATAAAACGAGTTATGAATTATCTGTCAAATGTGTGGTTCTGTAATTTGATAATAATATTATATGTATAAACTTTATTGATACAGTATGTAAAGTATAAATTTTCATTATTATTCTTAGTAAGCAATTAACTTCATAACTCTCCCAAATATATCCAAAATAAAATGTAACCGACAAGAGAAGCAAGTGAATTTTGAACAAATTAAGATATTCGTGTCAATATCTATAAATTGCACTTTGTTATGAAGTGATAAAGTTGATTGTGTCTGTAAATCAGAAGTTTGTGAGCGTGAAAGCCGCCGAGCGTGGCGTGGGAGAGCCACGGACAATGAAGCTTGGAATGTAATACTAAAAAAGTGTAAGGGAGACGACACCATAGAAAAGAGATGGAGCGTTTGCCCGGTAACCGCGTTTCCGCCAGTCAAAGAAGGGAACAAGTTTCTGGTATCAAAGAAACCTTACTTTAGATCATTTACAAAATTATAACTGCTCCCCCTCTTTGAAAATGTTTGAATAATAATCAACTAACCAACCGAACTATGTAATATAACACGTTGAGGTCACATTCAAGATTACATAAAAATGACCGCCGAATCTGTGCCTAGGTCACACTGAATCTATAAAATTGAAAACGAGTAAATTACATTTGTCATCTATTATGTAAACAGTTCACAAACCTTCACATTTATAATGCACTGGTTTGCATTTTTTATTTGAGAATCATATTTATAGATAGTTCTTGTACTATCATCTTGCTTTAGCAACATAATTTGGTAACAAAACAAGTATTTATTCATTATAAATTTAGGATAGCATTAGATTAGATAGACATTTGATACAAATTGCGAATATTGTAAAACAATCACAAGATATTATATAGATAATATTAAATATGTTAAAACTAGAATCTCTTTCAGCAGCAACAACAATTACGAAATGTATAATTTAATTTTAAAATAATACTTAATTAAAGCATCATTGGTAAAAAAAAAATCATAAATCAAAATTTAATTAATTCTCCAATCACAATCAACTCCGTTGTTTATTATGATCAGAACTAGAAATTTGACATATCTACTAGTAGTAGCAACCGGTATTTTATGATAAATTATCTAAATGCGATCTTATTACGTTGTATTAAATCTCTAATTAATCCACAAACATCAGCGCGCTTAACTTGTTTGATCCTTGATCTTAACATCCTGCGCAGTAACAGTTTTATCTCGAGTCAACCTCGTCATAGCATCAATATAGTCGTTCAAATATAATGATACAACATTCTATAAAACTTATATGTAAACCCAAAACACTCTTAACAGATTTCAGACAATTCACTAACTACCTTATAACTTATTTATTTGTCTATACTACAACTTAATTAGGATGAAACAATACTCAACAATGGGTTGGATAAAGCAGTCTGCAATTAATAACAGCTGATTTTTTATATGACTTATGTTGTGACTTAGTAACTAGTCAAAGGATAACTTATGTGATATTAAGAAAATATAGATAAATCTCAAAAAACAACACACCAATGTAAATTTTCTAAAGGTAATTTATGTTAATTGGTTTTACAATCTGAGTGGAATATGAAGTAAGGTTAATCAAATGATGTTGAATGGAATCGTTGACTTAAAATGTGGAAACTTGACAAAAAAAACCTAAATTTTCTTTGTAGCAAAGAGCTCTTTTGTCACCAACTCTTTATTTAAAACTTCACGAACCAAGGTATATTGAAACCCTACAAAATAAAGTTTCTTTGCGATATTGAATGAGATAGGGAGGTAATAGAACCTGCAAGAAGCATGCATGCTCATATTGATCTCAGGTTTCCTGGAATAAAAAAAAATATCTGTGTTCTGGTGAAGCTTATCTAAAACACAGTTCAAACTAGCACCTGCTCTGGTCAGGATGCAATTGCAATTTAAGATGGGCCATGGTCGGGATAGAAAGTTATTTAAGGTTTAACGATTGACGACTCAATTTACCATTAAGGCTCACACCACACCGGACAGTCTTTAATGATTAATTTTGAAAAACTTCAATGCAAATATTAAATAAATGCCAATAACTCTTATGGTGTACTTATGTAAAATCATAGAAGGATTTGATACAGGAATATTGTAAGATGGTACTTTCACTATCTCGGGGCACGCTCGACCCGACTGACACTGGCGAATAAATCGTGTTTATTGCCTGCACAACGGTCGTGGCCAACTTTCATCGCTATTACCGACAATATTAGTGCCAACCTGCATGCTTGTAAACACTGCCGAAATCGAAAGTGACCAATGAAACTTTTTGCTGGGGACTCTTTTAAAGATCAGAATAACTACTTATACCTAAACTTTTGCGAACACTTCTTGACAAACATTTAAGCAACATCATTTGAATACATCACAAACAGATGTAGCAAGATGTAGCATTTTAAACACCTAATTAGAAACAAAATGCTAAAACACAAAAGAGCAAAACTCAAGGTCAAAAAAGATGAATACCACGTAAAGCCACAAAAACGATGCTCACATAAAACAGATAACTACGCCGTTAAAACATATTATTCCATTGACAATCTGTTTTGCTAACACAGATGGGTACATCAATGAATTATGTAAAGTCAAGCGAATGTTAAAAGCGCGCACAAAACATAATTAAGGTATAATTGTTTAAAATGTTTCTCTTGTACTTGATTATTAATTACTACATGTTATTGGATAATCGACTTACTTCATGTAAGATATAATGCGTTTAAAAGTAGAATAAGCGTAGTCAATGATTTCATTTCAACATACTAGCTATAAAAAGAATACAATAAAAGAACTAATTTCGTTTTCACCGAGATTGTCTAAGATAACTCGATGATTATAAGAAACTCCACGCATGCTAGAAGTATAAAATGAAAGTATCGGTCTAATGTAAACCGCTTCTATTGATACGGCTCCTTTCTCTAAAACTTATGTATTTAATACAATGATGATTTGTATTAATGCTTTATATCAATAGTAAAATATCATAAAATATAGACATTTACAATTTTGGAAGGAATCGCAATACTAAGCGTAAACAAATCTATCAAAATAATCAGAAACTAGACTCGAATGCCATAGCAATTTAAACACGCCGTATACGACTGCAGCCGTTCGTTCATCGGCTAGTAAGAATCTAAAACTTATTATGTTATGTTTCTATGAACAGTTATTGCAAAATTGGAACCTGAATTCCGTTGCGATTTAATCGATTCCAATTCAACTATAACAATTTTGTTAAGACTGAGTGAGCATTCCGTTGTTATTAATTTTTCGAATTCGATAACCGAACGCTATTCGCTTCGCTCTGATGATTTGCCTTGAACCAGTTTACGCAATAACACCATTATGATTATCAGGCTAAATTAATTCTATTTCTGAACAAATAAATTATACAACACTATCTGAAAACAAATTTACATATTCAGTTACAGCTTTATTATGATTCACCGTGTGAATAAATCATTACCATTGACATTACCTATTATTATAGTGAATGTTTTACTGCACTTATCATATTAAGCTTAAGTTTATTTTAAAATAGTTTCTCAACAGTAATACTGCAATATCATGACGAACTATTGCGCATTCCGAATACTTTCTGTCAATTTATGAAGTAACGTTTGTGTACCGAATAGCCTTTGTAGTAGTAATAAACCGTATGATAGACAAAGTTACAATAATAATAATTTTCTGAACAAATCAATAACAAGAAAACGTTTGACTCACCTCGCGCCCAGCCGGTAAGGACGTTCCCAAGGTAGGCCACCTTATAAACTGGATCGGGATCACTAATCCTTACGCTATTCGTACGTCGGAGCAACTTGCCCAAGCTGCGGGAGAGGCGGCCGATGGTGCGAGTCGTGAAGTCTTTCCCTGTGGCACCCTCAGCCAAGCAAACTTCTCCTGGTAGAATCGATTTGGTCTGTCCGTTCTCCTGTACCTTGTGGCTGATCAAGCGCGGCATCGTTAACGGTATTGATCTCTTTTTTTCCGGTGTGAGCGTTTTTGCATGGTGCACACTGTACACGTTACAATTCTTTTTAAAGCTGTGATTGTTTGCTTCTTTGGTATGTTCGGTCTCGTCAGTCTTGTCAGGCTTCTCCTTCATGGTGCAAAGGCGCCCGTTGAGATTCTCACTGAGCGAATTATTGTTGCGGCCATCTCCTTGGTCGCTGTGCCTACGGTCGCTGTAGTGCCGTTTTATTAGGGAAGCGTTCCGCAGTAGGATACTCGTTTCGCTCGAACTGCGGTTTTTGAGAATATGTATCTTCTTAACTCTCGCGACCGCGTAGTCTACCTCGTCGGCGTTAACCGTTCTCTCAGTTTTTCCTTCCTCGTCCAGGAAGCGGACTCTGAGTCCGTTAGGCTTGCAGTCGCTCGACATTGTTTTTTCTCCGTCTTGCAAACGATCCATTTGACTTTTTGCGCCAGTGTCAAAGCACTGGCGCTCGTTTTCGCTCAATGTACCGCGAGCCATTTTTCTCAGTATGAGCTTATACTCTTTCACCTTTTCACATGGCTGAGGGGAACTTATCCATAAACACAATTCAACCAAAGTTACTAAGTTTCGTGTCCAAATGGCGGAACCGATACCACCGTTGTCACTTCCCTAGCGTTAATAAAACACACAGAGTAGTACGCACCTCGTCCATTAAAGAACGACACCGGTTTGGAATGTAGCCTTCTCCACACTTACTCAATGCACTTGTCCGTTTATAGGAGAAAATATTCACGATGATTTAGTTATTTCAAACTTTTATTATATCACTGATTCACTAGACTTCAGTAATCGGAAAAATAATATTTTTAAACAAATTTACGACGAGAGTGAAATCAAGTGTATCGCTCGGGTTGTACAATCGCAATACGTGCGCACTCGGTGATACACAGCGCTGGAATGACGATACGAGGCGATTGAGGTAGGCAGCGGTGGCGGCGCGGGCGCAGCCGCGGTCACTTGATCCCAGCTTTGATTCTATCGGACCGGCTTTGTGGAGATAATCGTCCCGTTGCCCGCTGCACCGATCTGTAAACAACAAACAAATATTTTGAACATCTGATATCGATTGTTATAAGTTTTAAGGGAAATCTTATTTTACGACACATTTTCTCTATTGTCGTGTCTTGTATTAAGCAAATGTAGAGCTTGCAATTGTGTTTTTTTTTTATTTGAATTATAAAAACGAATAAAAAATCCGCTTGCCTTTATCTCTATATAATATTAGAAATGGCACATTTGTCAAAAAAAAAATTTAGGAATCTGTCTAATTGTAACTATAAACATTTGTAGTTTTGAAATAGAATATCATAAATATTACTCAGGGTTTTTTATTTTTTATTTCCATAAACTTCTTTTAGTTCTGCATATGTTTTCCTCTGACAAGGGTCAGAGACGTTGAGTTACCTTTCTTTTTTTATTATAAATATATGAGTATTATATTTATATATGTATTTTTTGCAATGTTATTTATTCATAGCATAAATATAAAATTATAAACAGCATGCATATTTTTATCATATTTATAGATATTATTATATATATATAATAGTCACTTTCTTTATGTGGACTAGTTTTTATTTCTTATTATTGACTCCTGTATTATGTATGTATTCCAACACCATATTTCTTATGCCTTTGTTTTCCAAAATGCTTGACAGATTATGTGGCCTGGTTCAATTTCACGAATTATATTGTATGCACTGTGTGGACATTCGGGAAGAAAGCCTTCGTTGTAGATGCGGTCTCTGCTGTACTGTAACGCTCTTACCAAATGTTTACGCTATCTTCGCGCAATATCTTTTTGATGTAAGATAACGGACACATGTCGTAATTGGGGGCTGTTTTTAAGTTGATTACTGCATCTTTCGCGAGATCATCGGCTCCCTCGTTTTCTTGAATTCCGACATGTGATCATATCCAATATAATATTAGGCTGTTCTCACTTTATATGACTTCTTTTATGTTTGCTTCTAATTCTGGGGCGATTGGATGAAGTGATCTCATGCTTCCCAATGTCTCCAGAGCAGATTTGGAGTGACTGAGAATAACTTCTCCTTCTCTTTACCTTTTATTACCAATTCAATGGATCTATATACTGAGCACAAATCGACGAGTTTGAATTTTCTGTCTTTTTTCCATTCCATTTTTCCGAATAAAGAATGCAGCTTCCACTTTACCGTAAATTTTGCTTCCTTCGGTGAATATTAATTGCTAGTTTAAATGTTTTAATTACACATATTAAATTTACCAGGCTCAATATCACCAAAACTATATTTAGAAAAAAGAAGATTGTCAAAATGAGCTACTGATACTGTTAATCGTTTTCATAAATAAAGCGTACTTGTCGAAAAATTATTATTTATATTTCACAATTTGACATCGAGAAGATTACACCTCATGTAAATTTCTGCTCTACCAAAGCTGTTCTACCTCCTCGCATTAGTGATTACTTCATATTAAATGATATAATTAACGGCGTAGTGGATAAGCGTCGCGGCACGCGATCATTGTCGTTAAGCAACTTTGGCAAGGATCGGTCACGGGATGGGTGACCAAAAAATTATTATCTCGAGCTACTCCGTGCTTCGGAAGGTACGTTAAGCCGTCGGTCCCGGCTGCATTTGTAGTCGTTAATACCCGCCAATCTACATTGGGCCAGCGTGGAGGGTCATGGCCCATGCTCCTTAACCATCCATAGGGAAGGCCTGAGCCCCTGCAGTAGGGACGAAATAAGGGGCTAATCCAATGATGATGAATTAACTTGGATTAAAGATTTTTTGGAAAATTTTAAAGGGCTATTAAAATAAACCATTATACCAAATATCTAAAGCTAAATAACCAACTAATTATTTAACCTGGCTTTTCTATTAAATATACTTCAAGTATAACGTGCAAGACTCTACAATAATATTTACCATTTCCGTTTTGAGGTTATATAGATTTGCTTCAATAATTGTAAGGAGTATTAACTGAAATGGGCTCAAAAGATCCAAGTTACGTGAGTAATAGTGTGCAGTTTCCGATCAAGTCTATATGAGATGGTGTTGATTATAAACTGGTATAAAATTTAACGAGGAGAACGACTATTTAGAATGTTTAAAAAAACAAAGCTTACGAGTTTATAACATAGAGAATAAAAAAAGTTCATGAGGTCAGCTCGGCGATAATATTGCTTACTAGCATTATTATCGCTGAGCTGACCACAATAAGAAAAGCTGAAAGAAATTATAGAAAACCAATCCCAGAATATAACTCCTACGAATTAACGGCTTATTCCATTTCTCCTCGAACTATAATTCGGAAAATTTCGAACTTTCTTATAAATTTGTGCAAATCATATCCATAAAGATTATATGTGCATCAGATGCACTGACATGTCCTACCTCTACTGCATTATAAATTATATAAAAATTAGTTTCTTTGCAGTCGTAAGTATTTCGAAAACAGACTAAAGTATGTTTTCGGAGAAATTGAATAGGCTTTCAGGTGTCGTGTTGATTAGCACAATAAGTATGTGGTGTACATGTAAGTGTTTGTTGCATCGTAAGATATTATTTGTAAGCTGAAGTTCATTAAACCAGTAACACATATAATTAAATGACCATGTCTTTTAGTCACGTACCGCTGACAACAACAGAGGAATGTTTCACGATACCGTCGCACTATCGGCAATACGTGATCTGCGACGACGGGTATTACCTGTTCACTGTACAACCAACAGGTGGGCTCGATGTTTTATCATCATCATCATTTATTTGCTCATCATTATGGATATTATATAATCGCATAGGGTTTTTTTTTAATAATCATATACTGTCGTATATAAAAACGCTTAATGATTTAATCTGAAGTGTATTTTTATACGACGAGGCCTAAACGGCTGTTAATTGTTATATATTTTTCTTTTAATTAAACGTTAAAAGAAAAGGTTTAACATTGAAGAAAAAGAGATAAAAAACCAACCAACAACCAGTCGGACTGTCGCGGTGAAGGTTCCGTTCAAGTATTACTTTTAAGAACTATGGACTTCTAATATGATCCTCTTTATTCTATTTTCATTAAGCTATTCTCTGTTTATTTATTTTATATAATTTTATGAGCGCTTTAACGCAGAAACGTAGAGTTATAAATTTATTACATCGATAATAAATACAGTAAATGCCAATTGTTTTGCTAAGAACAAAATTTAAAAATGGCTTCACCAATTCTGCTTAATTATTTTTCACATTCGTTGAAGACCAGGAAGGTTCTTATTATAAAAAGGTGAGAAAACTAAGAAATAGTAGTAAATCAACATTTATTCTTCCTATTCAAACAAAGCGGTATGAAGTTGTTGTTTAAAGTTAATTTTGATTACTCTACCAGACCAATACTAGTCAAAGTATAGAGTAAGCACTAAAGAAAGTACTTACAACCTTGATAATTTGTCAAGCTACGTGAACCTTTGAAGTTCAAACATATATACAACAACTTTACCTTCATTAATCCACCCGCCACTGATTTAATTGGATACTAACGAAATTTAAGTCAATATTTGGTTAGTAAAACTTAAACATCTCATAATTTGTCGATATTATTTTAATTGTATACATTAATAGTACAATTATTCGGATAATTGGATATTTTCACGAGATTTAGTAGAGGTCGTATAAAATATACACATGAAACCGTTTCACAACATGTCATATAAGAGTGTAGTCATATGAAAACAGATCAGAAAAACTGACTGGACTAAGTTTGTGTCCGATTCTTTTCAGTGCAAGGTCTCCTGCCGGATATTTAAAAATCATCGGCATAGTTTTTGAGTTTCGCAGCTTAAGGTGAAGAAACGATATTATTTTCATTGTTGACTTGGAATAAATGAATATAAAATGCATTTATGAAACAATAGCTTTTGGTGATTCACGAAGTGATCGATTTATTTACAGTAAATTACAACCATATGTTTTTGATTCTGGTGAATCAATATCAGCTTTATAAATATTAAGGTATGCCAAAGAAAACAGTGTGCCTTCGAAAATACCATTTAGTATTAACGTGGGAACAATATCGAACACAAAACATGTGTGTCCCATTATAATTATTGGTTTAAGAAAGTCATGGAACCACTTTTCTATAAAATTTTATTTCCCTTTTATAATTAATTGACCAGCTGAGTCCGTTGCTCAGTACTAGGTCATCCGTCTTCACATTGACGACACACAAGAAATTATATCATTTAATTAAACAGACTGCTCACAGTTAGATTTTATAGGTAAGGTCAAATTTTATTGATTTGATTTTATAGGTAAGGTCAAAGAAAATGCGAACGACATCTCTACGTTGAAAACTAAAAAGTAATCTGGATATTTCAATCTTTCATTGTCCTAGGCACGATCCTACATGAAGAATGCTGACAGTGAAGAAGAATGGCTTTAGTTATGATATATTTTTATAATTAAAAAATAGATACATAATTTATATGTCGCATCATCATTACGAAGATCGTTTGATTTAGTTTCTTTTATTTTAATTGCTAGTTACTCGATTACTTAATTACTCGATTGTAAAGAGAGCGTGATCATCGATACTTTTAATTTTATTAGAATGGTGACACTGACTTTGACAGTTCGTTAATAAAAACCATGTTGCCGCCATTTTGGCAGACATTCTGTTTCCAAACGCCGAGGAGTAAAGACATCAGATGACATCACGCTCATCTCGTTATATTTTCGTGTGAAAAGTGATAAAATGGAACAAATCCACGTTGGTATACACGCCTGCAGTGTTATTTTAAAGATAGTCCTCCGATATGGACGATCTATTTGGGCTTCGTAATAGCACCTTCTGACTACCCGCCGTTATATATATTTTTTTAATTATTTTTGCTTAAGTGAAAATGATAAAAATATGATTAAGA